TGATTGAGGGAAAGTACCGGCGTGATCGTGCTGGCCGAGAACCCGGAAGGCGGCGTCACCTGAATCACATAGTTGCCCGCAATGAACGGGAAGCCCGGAACGCTCTTCAGAATGTACTCATAGCCACCCGGCTGGCCGCTCGGGCATGTTCCGCCGGACGTACAGGTATTGATGCCACCCACCAGATTCTGAACGGGGACCAGCGCCAGGGAACCGCCAGGGCCATATGGACCATAAAGAGACAGGGTTGCGCCATTCAGGGGTTCGCGCGTCTGGCTGTTGTAAACAACGCCACTCGGGTCGATCGGCAGGTTCTGGCTGACAGTGTTATCGCCGGCGTAGAGGCTGACACCGGAAATAACCTGGCCGAACGTGCCGCCATTGACGCTGGTTTCAGCCACCGTAGTTGCATTATTCGCGTTACCGTTGGTCGTGGTTGCACCCTGGTTGATCGGAGTGGTGCCAATGGCATTACAAGTGCTGGCATCGGTAACCGTCAGGCAGTTGAAGAACTGCAGGCTGTAACCTGTCCCGGGCTGAACGCCAATGATCTTGTACTGACCCAGATTGTTCGTAAAGGCTGTTCCAACAACCACTGACGAAGAGTTGGTAAGTTTCACCAGCACATTGGGCAGGAGGGTCTCACCGACCTGATAGGTCCGGAAGTTTGAGCCGTCCCGAATGCTGTCTATCCAAGCGATGCCCGAGACGTTCGCGCCAATACCCGCGACCACACTTGACACGTCATTCGCCGGGTTTATGTCAGCTCCACCAAAGGCGGTAACGCGCGCAGTGAAAGTCTGGGAGGCTGTCTGTGCAGCACTCAGCACATAAGTTGTCGTGAAGACAATGGACTGACCCACCGGCAACGGCGTGCTGATAACAAAGTTAACCGTAGAGCCACCCGCGCTACCTAAACCTGGCGGGAGATTGACCGTTACCGAGGCACCGCTGGCAAGGGATCCAACGTTTGTCACGGTGATGGTGACCGTATTGGTTCCGGCCACGGTACCTGTGCCTGGAGGCACAAGCAATGAGGGCGACAAGGTCAGGGTTACGGAAAGATCAACGCCTGTGCCCGTCACTACCGTCGTGGCAGTTCTGACGTTATTGGTCAAAACCGTGTCCGCCGTTGTCGTGGTAATGGTGCTCGTCCCCTTGACAGTGCCAGAGGCCGGCATCACGTAGGTAAAGGTAAAGCTGGCACTGCTTCCAGCCGGCAGGGTTACGGCCGCAAACGTTGCAGTAACGCTACCCGAAGCCACCGTTCCACCGGTGACCGCAGTCAGGGTTCCGCCATTCAGGGCTACCGTACGCGTCACATTGTTAGCGGTTGACGGTCCGAGGTTGAAGAAAGTCACCGTACCCGTAACAGTACCGCCTGGTGTGGCGCTGGCCGGCATGGACAGGGTCGTGCCAACATCTGCACTGATAGCAGGGACACTGAAGGTTCCGGTGTTGTTAGCCGGATTTGTGTCGTTGGTTGCGTTCGAGGTGCCTGTGCCTGTCACGCCCGTGCTGGTCTGCAGGAAGCTGATCGAGGCGCTCACCGTGCCGCTCGGCGTGACGTTTACAACCGTCGGCGGCGTGAACGTCACCACACCGGTGGCGTTGTTGTATACCCCATTACCAAGCAGTACGCTCGTCACTGTCACGTTGGCCACACCAAGACCCGGCTTGAGGGTCAATGTGAACACCGCCGTGGTGGCCGTACCGGTCGTATTGGTGTTCACGAAGTTCACCGTGCCGCTGACGGTCGTGCCGGTTGGTGCGCTCGCCGGGAAGTTGGCAAAGCTCGTGCTCATGTCAGCTGGCAAATTTCCCACCGGCGTCACCACCGTCACCGTGTTGACTGGCGTGGCGTCCGGCGTCGTGCTCGTGCCCACCGCCGTGTTCGTCACGCTGCCGCTGGCCGAGCTGCTGACCGTGGCGTTGACGATCAGCGTCAGCGTCTGGCCCAGCGCCAGGCTGGCCGTCGTGATCACACTGGTGCTCGTGCCGATGATCGTCACCGCGCCGTTGTTACTCGTGGCCGTGCCTATCGTCAGCCCTGCGCTCAGGATGTCGGTCAGGGTCACGTTCTGCGCCGTGCTCGGGCCCAGGTTGACCAGCGTCACCGTGTAGCTCACCGTGCCGCCTGCCGTCACTGCCGA